TTTAATTATTAATTGCAAATACAACTATAACATTTTAATTTTTTTTTATTGATTGGAATTGAATGATGTAGCATTGTTTAGAGCTCATAATATGTCATTTTTCTATAACTTATTGTTTTTATCTTCTACTTTTATGTATACATAATATATATTTGACATTATAATATTTATTGAAAAAAGTAAAATTCTGAGAGTGTACGCATTGAATTTAGTAACGGTAACAAGAGAGGAACAAAAAAATATTTGTGTACTTCGAGGAAAAAAAATGAAATGTGGTAAAAAAAACTAAAAAACACCCAATATATAAGATATCTAATAAATTAAAAAATACTCGAGTACTCAACCATCTAATTTCTCCACGAAACAATTATAGAGGTACCTCTGGTTTAGTTAGAAGAGGTTTTTTGAAATCCCAATAAATAACTATTTCTCATGCCCATGCTCAGATGATCTAGGAGGAAAATTAATGTTGAAGTATTTTTGAAAAAATAAATTTTTTTTATGGTTAATTTTTTTTATTATGTATTACTAAGGTTTTTTTTAGTTTTAGTTTTATGTTTATGTAATAATATTCTTGACATTTAGTAATACAAAATTCAAATAATCACTAAATAATTATAGGAAAAGTAGGAAATTTCTTTTTCATTTAAATCCTCATTGAGATTTTTACAAAACAAATTTGGCAGAATATACATTAAAAATACCCTAAGTTATGGACAACAACTTGTATTACTTCTATTAAGATTTCTAACCTTTGATCCATATCCAAACAAATTATATCTAGAAATAGATTTATTGAAAATATATTAAAAAACAACATATTATCAATATAATTAATTAAAATTCATAAAATCTAAAACACACATACAATATCCTAGCAAATAAATTAAGAAAGTTGGAATTTAAGATTAGATTACTTAGCATCACCTAATACATTAATATAAGTACTTGAAAAGGAAATTCTAAGGTTTGGTCATTGAAGTACAAGACATGAAATATGAAGATTTTCTTCCCTACATACATAACACAAAAGGTGATAAATTATATACATATTATAGAGTTTGTCTTTCCTACATAGGCATAATACAAAAAGTAATAATCTTAAGCTCCCTAATATGCACATTTCAAAAAAGATCTTTAAATGCATACATAGTCCATCATTAAATCATTTATAGATATAATAATAATATGTAAGTAAAGTCATTCACTTTCCAAATAATTATTTTTTTTAACATTACTTAAATTTTCAAATTCTTAAATATTTGATAAATATTCATAATAATCCAAGAATTTAATTCTCTATATATTTAATCTAACCTTAATTTATTTAATTAAGAAATTGGTTTCTAAAACTAGCTATTAGATAAGGTATTAAATATATTAACCAGGAGTCAATTTAAGTAGTTTTCCAATCCACATGATACACAGGAGCCTACTTCAACATATGTTTATTCAAATGGCCACTACTTCTGTTATCCATAAACTAGTTTCAACAATTTTTCATTTAACAAACCAATCATTTCATTAACTAGAAGTTAATTTCAACATTTATTAATTTAATAAAACACTAATTTCATTAACCAAGAACTAGTTTCACCATTTGTCTATTTGACATGGTATTAATTTCATTAACCATGATCTAGTTTCATCATTCGTAAAGTATTAGTTTCATTAACTAGGAAGTAGTTTATATATCTAATAATATATCAACTTGATCAAATTATAAAAATAGCATTTAAAATTTATTTTGAATTAAGAATTTTTTAAAGAGTAAATTTATAATTTTAAGTTATTAAACTCTTATTTGTTGCTTGAGACAAGCCAACTCTTTTTTATGGAGATCCTATTTTGAAAACCTCTCCTAAATCAACATGATTTAACCATAGTATTAACATATTAATAATTTCAATGTGCCTATATTCAAAATGCATATAATAAAAATTCTTGTATTCAATTCAACATATATATTTTCATTTAATCACCAAATTACCCTCAAAGTTTTATTTTTTTATTCTATTTTCTCATTATTTCCTCCCAAAAACATTTCCTACATAGTTTTATATGTTAGTACACTCTAAACAACTTTCTTTTCATAAACATAACATGACTAAACTCTCACCATTAATAACATGTATTTATTTATTTACATCCTCTCTTAATATTTACATCTTCTTATACTCTAAAGTGCACCTTATATCACACTTAATGAGCCTATTACCAACACAATTTTTCCATAAAGATTATCAAGATTAGCAAAGTTTCTAAAGCAAACATAATCAATTTTTCATCATCATTATAATTGCATACATCAAATAAATATTAATTTATAACTTCCAAGTACATCATAACACATCCACATTTCTTTTTGTTTTTGGTCAGGCCATTAACACTTTTAGGCACCAAAATTCTTGCTTCAATTCCAACAAATACCTTCCTTGCTTTTTCTTTCAAATTTGATAGGTTGATGTGTTTGATTCCATGTTTTCACAAGATTGTCTCTCAATTTTTATGTTTTCCTAAGGATTTATCACTTTTTCCAAGCAAGATATCAAATTTCATACATATATGTATGTGTGTGTGAATGTAAATAATTTGTTAAAATCTCATTATGTCCCTCAATAGTATCCTTTTTATGTTTTTCAAATAAAATTTTCAGATCCCAACACTTATTTATAACAATTTCTTACATGGGTTATTTTAAATTTCATTTAGTTACATGCTAGTACTTTCAATTATGTATAAATCACTTTCATTGAATTTTTATTTGTGTTTCTACATTTTTCTATTTTCTAAGTATTTTTATTATTGTTTTTTTTTTTACTTGTATATAAAATTTTACTTCAAACTCTTGAGACTATCATCATTCCCATAATAGTTGGGAGTTTATAAAAAATATTATTACTTATTTGTTTTGTTTATTTATTTTATTATTAATTAAATTTTATTCCCTAATTAAATTTTTATTAACTTTTAAATTTCATCTGGAGTTTATATTATATAAATAAAGTGTTGTAATAGTCTTTTAGCAAGTAACACAAAAATAAATAAATTTCATAATTTGGATGTGTCTCCATAGTTATGGTATTTTTGATCTTTGAGAATTTTAACTTGTGACAAACTCTGTTATCATTCATTTTTATTTATAATTGGTATCAAAATTCAAAGATTCATTATAGTTTTAATTACAAGTCGTAGAGAATGAGTATAAAAGTTCAAGGAATGATAATTTTAATTAGAAGTAGTAAAGGATAAGCATAAAAGCTCAATAAATGATAATTTCTTGTGATTAATTGCTTGTATAGGAAAGGATGATGAGAGATTTTTCTCGGGAAAAATACATCTAAGAATTCATTTTCTTTTTATCCATATTAATTTATTTTTCTTACTTAATTTATTTTTTTTCTTATTTTTATTTTTTAAATTAGTTTTATATAATTTCTAATTTTTTATTTGAAAGGAATAATTTTACTATTTTATTTTTATATTCAATATTACTAGGGTTTTCTAATTTTTTTCTAGAATTATAATGATACTTTGACAAGTCAAACCAGACCTAATAAAATTTAAATATTTTAAATGTTTTCTCATACATATACAGTATTTTTAGTATTGCTACTCAAGCGCCATAAACAGCATGGAAAATTTTTGCAGAGATGTTTTAAGAGTTTTCTATACAGGTTTTCTGTATATAAATATTCCCCTTCTCATGTTTTGTCTGTTTTTTTTCCCCTCGAAAAACTAACTTATATAAACGTATGCATAATTAATTGCCTTGTGCACTTACGAGGAATTCATGTCCTGATTGGTTCAAAGAATCTTGGCTTTGGACTGGGCTTGATTATCATGGGCGGGCCATTCTAAAGTAAGCCCAATATTAACAAAATTATAGCCTTAGAGAATGATTTCGGCCTTGTTAAGTCGGCCCTATTGGTGTCAAATGACAAGCCCAATATCATATCATGCACGTCAAGAAGAATATTAATTATCATTCATCGTCATCAGCCCTCATAGCATTTGTTAAGAAGCTCATAAAAAACTTTTCAATGAACTTTTGCAATCTCTCTTCCCTCTTTAAATTTTCAATAGGATATACTAGATTAGTAGCTTGTAATATGCTAAGAAACAAATTAAATGTAAAAAATAAAAAAAAAACCATGTCATGCTAGTAATTTTAAAATAGTAAAAAAAAAAAAATCAAAATTCAAGTTATTGACTCAATTATATTTAATAAGATCAATTAATTTAATTATATTTAATACGATCAATTAATTTACTAAAATAGTTAAAAAACAACAACAATACATAAATTGAATTAAAATTATTATTTTTTCATAATAATTAACTGCAAAAACAGAATGCATATCAATATTATAAAAATATATCCTTCTAATAATTAACTGCAAAACTCAAGTTATTAATTGTTATTAATTTATAGTGAGCCAAATGTTCAAGTAATATATATATATATCAATCTAAACAAAATTAAAAAACTAATTCAAGTTAATTTTTCAAATTCATAAACTAATCATCAGGATAATACTTTATTTGATATATTTATTAGAAACAAATTTTTCAAAATAGAAAATAAGAACTTTACTTGACAAATTAAAAATATTAAAAGCAATGACATGTATTGGGTTGTAATTGAGAAACAAAAGTGCCTGATTAGCTTGTAAACAGGTGCGAGAAATGGTCTTTACGGGTCTTTCCCGTGAACTGCAAACAGCTTCCTATGTCCTCAAGATTGAGGTATTAAGAATTTCTCTTGTTCTTCTTCTTCCTTGTTCTCCTTCAAATCACAGGAAACTACTGCTGTCGAGTTCTCACTTTGCTCCATGACTTCCCACTACGTGCAGTGTGGTTCCTCGATGTTATAAACCAATTTCGTAATCTGACTAGAAATGCATATCTTGCAATAAAATGCTAAGTTGTTCCCTTCCCTTCTCGCCTTCTTATTGATCGATCGAAAGATAAGATGTCTGTCTCTTTGACCATTCAGATTGTAGGAAAACTGTTGTTGTCGAGTTCTCTATTTTCCATTTGTAATTACCAGACTTGAGCAATTCCTTGTCAATGTTTTCAAACCCATGAAATCGAGGATGTTTGTCACTACTACAATGCAAACCGAACATTGTCTAAGAATCATCGACAAACTCAAACATGCACCAAGCTCTCAGTGGCTATTATGCTTAGAAAAACAGTTCCTCAGGTATATACTCTGACGTGCACATCGCAGGAATTATCTATCTAGCTTCCAGGATAGTTATATTTGCTTCATTTGTTGAATAAGAGTCTTCATTTCTTGATGTTGCATCGATGACGGAACCCCTTTCTATGAAGAAACCAGGCTGTTTAGGCTGAGGCAACACAGCTCCTTCATTTGCTAGCATGAAAACTACAGTTGACATTACTGGTCTGTCTTTAGGGAGCTTCTGGACGCATAATAGCCCCACTTGAATACACCTTAGAAGTTGGGACTTTCCGGATGTATCCTCCAAACCTGTGTCGATTAATTCCGAGGCCCTGCCTTCATTCCACATCAACCATGCCTGTGAAAACCCAATATATTCCTAGTTATTAAGCCGGAAAATCAGAGAGATATTACATACTTCCTTTCCATGTGATTGTTCATACTTACATGTCCTAAAAGATTGTGATGGTGATCCGGGTGAACAAAACCTCTATTCTTCTTACCACTTATTATCTCTAACAGAAGCACACCCAAGCTGAAAACATCAGACTTGACTGAAAATTTTCCATCAATGGCATATTCAGGAGCCATATAGCCACTGCATAAAAAAAAAAAAAAAAACAAATATAGATTTTTTCAACTCATAGAAGCATATGAATTTAACTATGAGAGCTTACTATGTCCCAATAACTCTCTTTGTTTTTGTTTCTTTTCCATCATCGCCAGATATTCTTGCCAAACCAAAATCTGAAATTTTAGGGATCAGTTTACTGTCTAGCAAAACATTGCTTGGTTTGAGATCCCTGTGAACAATTTGAAGTTTGGAATCTTGGTGGAGGTAGAGAAGTCCTCTTGCGATACCCAAAATAATAACAAAACGCTCTTTCCATCCCAATAACACACTTCTTTCATGATCTGCACATCAATTCATCTCTTGTAAGTCAAACTACAATATCTGCTGTAGGATTGGTGCCCATAGGATCAAACCCAAGGGAATTAGTTTAATACATGAAGAACATTGCATATGCTTAGGGAAGAAATGTGACAAAAGAGACAATGAGTCAAGGGGCTCAAACCAAAGATGAAATAATCCAAGCTTTTGTTAGGCATATACTCATAGATTAACATCCTTTCTTCTCTGTGTATACAGCTTCCCAAGAGCCCAACAAGATTCCTATGTTGAAGTTTGGCAATCAAAACTACTTCGTTCCTAAACTCTTCAACACCTTGTCCTGAATTCATTGACAGCTTCTTCACTGCTATTTCTTGTCCTGTCAAAAGTTTACCCTGCAAGTTTTCATGTAGAAAACTCATTTCCTTAAAATTTTGAGTTAACAGAACACAATGCTTTATTGTAGTTATCTGCATTACCTTGTAAACAGAACCAAATCCCCCAGCTCCAATTATACTGTCGGGCGCGAAATTGTTAGTTGCAGTAGCAATTGTATCCAAATCAAACAGAGGTGCTTCCATGCCTTCCTTCCTGCGGTCCATTCCTACTGAAAGAATAAAACGACTTAAAACCTGCTTTCCAATAAAACAGTGTGCTAGCTATTTATTCTTAGCGGCGAGGTAGGATAAGAGTTCGTACCCTTCCTCTTTATTTTCCTCCAAATAATGCAGAGCACCAAACCTGAGACAAAAATGCCTAACAAAGTAGACATTGAAGCCACCAGGGCAGTCTTTAACATTTTCTTCCTTTTCGAGCTACGCACCATTTCTAGAAAATAGCCACAAAGAAAATGCAGTTGGTAAGAATAATTTTCAATTCCACGATTTTCTCTTAATAATAACAAAAAAAAGATAGGAATGCAACCAGGATAAGGTCTCGCTTCCTTGTTTTCTCCCATAGTTGAAGGCAAGAAGTCAAATCTTGAAATTCAACGTGTCTTGCTTATGTTTCTGGATAGCCATCTTAATACAACTTTGACAATGTAAGGAAGGTTCATAAATGAGAAAAATAACACATACCTAATTCTGAAGCTGGTACTCGTATATGGATATCCTGTCCTATCGTACTTCCTGATTGCTCTCTAATGTCTATTAGGTTCCCAAACCACATCAAGCAGCCACTGCCATCTCCACCTCCACTTAAATTTGAAGAAGCAAAAGCTGAGCAAGAACAGTTCTTGAAGCACTCTGCCTCGCATTCCTTCAGATTCATACTCTCATTCAACCGAAACTCTAACAAATCAGGCAATTTTACCCCTGAAAGCTTGAGGAACCCCTCACCTGGTTGGCAATCAAATGTCAATCTCGCCTCACATTTTCTAGACCCATAAAAATTCTGTATATCCAATTCTTCTTCTGGTATGGATCTAAACCCTTCCAAACACTGACAAATAGGTGACGTCCTAGTTCTGCAAATACCATTAGCACCACATTGCCCATAATTCTCACACGTATCCACAGGTACTGAGTATATCGTTGTCCATCCAGAGTTCTGATCATACATCACAAGACGTTCTACTGCACCTGATTGATTCAGGGTTAATCTCGAACTAACTGAATTGTTCAAAAGCCTGTACGTGTAATATATTTCATCCTCATTACGAACCAGAATCGGTTCAAATACTGAATTGTAGACTTTAGGAGTGCCACCAAAGAAAATTCCATTCCATGGTCCGCTGCGGACCTTCTTCACAGATCCTACAACAATAAACAATTGAGGTAAACCACGAATGTCAAGTCTATAAGTAAAGTCTCCGGGGGATGGATCGCTGATACTTCTCCATGTGATCAGGTACCTTTCTTGACCGGTCTTTAAGTTCCATCCCAGCTTCATGCCTGGTAATAGTGTATCTGATGGCTGGTCAAAACTCTGCCATCGATAGCTGTCAGTGTTTCTGCTACTACCATTGTCCCTAAGAACAAGATTTCCAGAATCCAATAGCTGTGCGACAGGACCTGCTATAACGCTTGATAAATTTGAAGACCATATAATATTCTTTATTGGGTCGAGAAGAACAAGATTTCCCCTGTTGTCAATTGTTAGCACCCCAAAATGATCAGTGAGTGGGTTGTTTCTGTTTGCAACCCATACAACTGTCTCAGGGCTCTTCTTGTACCAAATTCCTACATACCGGTATTTTGAGGTTCCAGGAGAGAAGAAACCTAGCTCAAAACTTTGAGATACAGAAATTAAAGTCTGGCCATCTTTGACAGGTAGATCTGGAGTTATGATATCAGCAGCAGATGACAAGAAGTAGAGAGATTGTATGAACGAAGTGCTGAAGAAGATAAAGAAAGGAAGGCTCTCCATTGTTGAAATGATAGTTTTCAAACATCAAGTGTTACCACATAACGAGTAAAATCTACCCGCATGGATATGAAAGATTTCAGTGATAAACTCTAGATTGGATGTGGCAGCAAAACTATTTGGTTTTACTTTTAGCAAAACAATTCCATCTGCTTCTACAAAAACAACTGGAAATGTTCAAAAAAGAAAGTAAGATAAAGAGCACGACAAAGGCAAAACTGAACTCTTAACAGTGACTTTTGAATTGGGTGTATCCTGCCGGCTTTTACGCATGATACTCTCTTCATTTTCTTTTTTCTGGCTCGCAATTTTAGAGCTTCGGAGTTGAATTGTCAGAGCTGTAATTTGCACTTCAATATAATTATCTACTTGAAGAACTATCGGGTGGGGGCTAATATTAGCTGTGAAATCGAATCTTGTAAGGATGCTCTGCAGCTAAAGAAAAACTTGAAAGAGTCAAAGCCAGATGATGTTAGGTGTACTGTTGGTGATAAATACTATATCTTTGTCAACGATGGCAGGGAATATTATATTTAAAATTATGAAGAATATTAAAAGAACACGATAAAATATTGTAGCTGCACTTTACATTTTGATCCCTGCAATTGCTTGTTTTTCCATATTTAATCCTTGTAGTTTCAGTTATACTGTTTCTGGTCCTTAAACTTCATTTTCATCACCTTTCGATCCTTCCATGCCAAGGAATATCTGACCTTTTTTTAAAAAAAAAATAGCCTTTCACCTTTTAATTTAAATTTTCTCATTTAATTTTTTTCAATGTTATAATACATTATCTTTGAATGAAATGATTAAACGATTTTTAAAAAGTATCATTATGTCATAATTTTAAAATAATATTAGAGATTTCTACTTATATTGACAATTATTTTATGAATAATTATATATAAAATTTAGGTTATTTATTCTTTTATTTTTACATAAAGTTATAGAAAAATAATCGAGATATTAATTTTTATTTCTTGATTGAAAATTTCTTTATAAATCATTATAAGATTTTATACGAGGAACCAAGCTTTTGTAAGAAAATATAGAAGCATTGTTTGAATAAATAAATAAATAATAATGGAGAAATATTTTTATCTAAAGAAATAATTTTTTCTTAAATTAAAACCATTTGAATTCTCATGGATTTCATTTTTAATTGATTTAACTTTATATTAAATCAACAATGTTGTTGATAAAAAAAAAAAAGAAGTTAATGTCTACGTCAATTTTAAAAAATATAGAAATAAAAAGATAAAATTTTGACCAAATACATATATTTATTTATAAAAAAAGTTTAGAGAATGGCACTATACAAGTATGCATGGCTTTACAGGTTTGGGCAGGGCGTGTGGGACACTCTTTCTAACCAAGCACGGCTTCTTTTTTTAATGACACTTGCTTTTTTACATTATATAATAAGATTCATTTTAAATAAATTTATTATATTAACATTTAAATAAGTTTCCTTTACGCCATAATGTTTTTAATAATATGCGAGCCTTTTTGAAATTCAATGGTTGCGTTGTGGGCACGATACTCTTCTCCTTTCCTTTCATTCAAACTATTTATAAGCGCTTCGGTAATCAGTTATCGAAACAACTTCTGCTTCGCAGTCGTGCTCTGCTACCGTAGAGTTCCTATGACTGTTTTGGAATTTAATCAATGCATGCTCTTTGTTTGTGGTTTATAGTAGGGAGGATTAATTTCTTCTTTAATCGTGGTTTTGCATGCTTAAAACTTTGAAGCTTTCCCCTAGGTGTATCTTGAAAGTTAAAAAATAAAATTAATTTAAAAATTTAAATTCAAAGATATAATTTATATTATTTTATAATATATCTTTATCAGTAAGAAAATTTTGAGTTTGAAATTTTCATGAATTTATATTAACTTGTATTTAATTTTTAAAAAATAAATAAAAATAAAGGGATTTAAACTTGTAACAACTTGATAATTAAAGTTTTGATATTATGTCAAAAAATCATCTCAACTCAATAATTTAAATTATTAAATAAAATTTTAAAATATAATGTATATTATTATATAAAAAAAAGAAACTTGCATTATATGTCTAGAATGTTCCTAATCGGTGTGTTAGTGGAAAATAAAGAATTGCTTCCTGTTTATACTCGTAAGTTCTTATACACATGAATATGTTGCCATCTTAATTAATGATATCTAGGCTTGGTTGTCAACAAGAGTTTGGCATGATTAACAACACTGAGAAATTTGTTGGCATTAGGTGGAGATGCAATGTATTAGACCTCTGTGGATCTTGGATTAGGTTTTATTCGGGAAGCTGTGCAGGGTTAAACACATTCACATAGACCTTTGCTTGGTCTCTTTTGTTTTCCTAAGGATTCCTGTTTTCAATATAGTTTTTATTTGTTTATTTTTGATGTTTTGGGAATTTAAGAAATTTATTTTAAGAGCGATAATTATTAAAAAATAATATAAATTTTATTTTTAAATTTTATTTATTAATTTAAATTATTAAATTGACGTGATTTTTTTAATATAATATAGAGTTTTGATAACTAAATAATTATGGGTTTAAACCTATCACTATTATTTTCTCTTTTTTCTTCTAATTAATATTGTAATTAATATAATGTGAATTTATGAAAGATAATATTTAATTTAACTAAGATTTCCGTGTCTGTTGACAAAGATGTTGTGTGCATAAACACAAGGCATAACCATTAGATGACGATAGGCCCTCCAATCTTTTATCCTCGTTCACCTTATAGTCAACATTTATATTTACTTTGGTAAAGAAGTGTGGGTGAAAATGTTCTCACAAAGAAAGTAGGTCATGGATTTATATGGAGCGCCAAAACAATGAAAACCCACGACATGGAAGGTTTCGCCATTGAAGTAGCTGACACTTTCTTTAATTTTTTTTATTATATAGTGATCCCATTTGGACTTTAAATTATGATATTGAAGGGTCAGCTTCATCTGACTCTGATCACAATACAGTTTGCGCAGGCTCATTTGCTCTCTCAATAATCTCATTCTACTATTTTTAGTTCACTTGTGGCAGCAGTCAACCTCAAGCCAGGACAGCTTTGCAATGCTGTTGACAAGGATAGTTCATTCTAAATTTCATCCAGTCGAAGGGGTTCAATGAACTTCAACAGACACAGTCACAAACACTAAAATCGTTAGCCTCTAGTGCTTTTTTCAGTATTTGTTCAGTGTTTAGATAAGGTTATGCCTTGTATGGTTTTTGTTAACTAGTGTTACAATAACTTGTTCTTTTGAAGCTCATTAGAACCTGAGCTTGCTCGATCGTTACCTTTTCAAGCACAAACATTTGGTCAGACAGCTTATTTAAAAAAAAAAAAAAACAAAGAAAAAGAAAACATTGAGGACACCGAGACTACGGCACATGTTGACTTCTCATTTTGTTCCCCTCTCACAACCTTTCCATCTTGGTTAACCCGATACCTCTCTTGATTTTGGTGACTAGGTTTTCACCTTTTTTGGGTTTATGAATGTGTTTCATCTTACTCTGAGCGATCTCCTAAGTTTATTAGACACATCCATTATTCGAGAACACAACTTGTAACACTCTCTGATTTTTAATATAATTTTAACTTTGCTCCTAATTATATAAGTGTAAAATGGGGTGGAATTTTTTTTTTTTTTTTTTTGTCTCGCTCTATGTGGAGCCCTTCTCAATCAAACACACAAACTCTACGTTAACCATGTATATTTAACATACAAGGAATTTTTCATTTAAAATAAAATATCTATCCAATTTAATAAATTTTTAACAGGGTTTCCCTTCCATAAAACTCTATCCAAAATTTTATTGTGTATCAATGTATAAAAACACAACAAAAACATCTCAAACCACAATTAGCCCACACAATCGATACTTATATAGCCTCTGGTATTACATCCTAATAATTTCATCAATTTCAATTAATCACAATCTTTTTATACAAACAAAGTTTGTATTATTTTAAGATAACAACAGGCAAGAATTATGCTAGGGGTGTAGTATAATGTCATACAATTAAAATGATGTCTTATTTGCCTAGTTTGGTTGAAAATGAAGAACAATATCCAAATAACAAGTCATATGATATTTATTTGTTTTTGTTTTTGTTTTTATACCGGTCAAAACAATGTTTTTTTGTACTAAAACGAATTGTTTTGGTTAAAATACATGTTTCATTTAAATGAAACAATGTTATTTTGATGTTTTTAGGATTTTAATTAGGGATTTGACTAAATTTCAATTTAGTCCTTTGACATTGATTTCTATTAATCGCATCCCTAACTGACTTCGAACTTTTAATTTTATGTGATTTTACCTTCGCCAAACTCCAATATCAACCCTGAATTTCAGTGTCTTTTTCATTTTCGTCATTGATTTTGAATTTATATAAATTGATCCTTAATTAATCATTAAACTTTTAATTTACTTAAATTTCACCCATGTTTTTGCCCAAATTGAGTCCTCAGAGTTTAGCAACCTTTTCAAAAAGGCCCTTGGTTATGAATTTCTTTAATTTAATCTTTAATTGATCATAAACTTTGATTTTCTTATAATTTTATCCCTAATTTCAATCAATTAACTTTGTAAAAATTAAGTTTGATCCTTTAAAATTCCAATCTTCCCAATTAGCCCAAATTAGACACTTAAACTTAATTATTTTACCAATCAAGTCCCTAATAAAATTAATTTGGCTCAAATTAATTCTTAAACTTAATTAATTTTTAATTCATCCCATGATTAAATCAAATTGATATATTAAAACTCTAATTAAGTCCTTGGACTTAATTGGTTTTATGCAAATTCATCAAATAATTATTTAATTTGATCTTTGATCTGTATTGTCTCTTCAATCTTGGGTACGATAGGGTATGATTAGGCTTACAATTTTATCCAAAACTCCAGCTTGATTTGTCTACTTATTTGAAACCTTTCTTAGTCTTTTTTTGACCACTTGTCACTCTTCTTGTTATTATTGCTTTTATTTTTTATTATTTTTTGTTAAAAAAAGGTAGATTTGGGTGGAAGAGCCCAAAAACGGGTTATGAAACTTATAGAGCTTGTTTATTGAATAAGATGACCAAAACACCTTTTAATAAAAGAGTTAAAGATAGAATGAATTCTTAGGTCTAATATATATAACAATTCGTGATAAAAAAAAACTATTGGATATTATTTATATAATTTTATTGAGAAAAAGTATTTTTCTTAAAAATATAAATTTTCTAAAGAAATAATTTGTTCTTGAAATGAGTATATAAATTTTCTAAAGAAATAATTTGTTCATGAGCAGTTAAAGGAAAAAATCAAAGCTAAAGAAGTTCAAAAATCATAAACTAACACCTAAATAGAACCTGAACTTGAGGCTATAGCGTCAGACATTTAGCCTAAAACTCAAGAAAAATAAGAACTCTTTAGATCTGGCAAGACATCTTATACACAAATGAGATATGGATTTCTCATGAAATCTAAAATTGACGAGTTGCTCA